CTCGCACTTTTCAGTAAGATCCATCCGCTTGTTCATAATAAGACTTTTTCACTGCCAACTAATGTTTTGGACGCGTATGAGGCATTAAAGGCAGAACTAGTCGAACCTACCGTGATCACTGTTGACAAAAACGTACATTAATGATTGAAACTGACGCATCTGATGTCGCTGTTTCTGCAGCACTCAATCAGAACGGTCGACCGGTCGCATTTTCCTCACGAACACTGGCCGGTAGTGAGCGAAATCACTCTGCTGTGTAGGTCTATGGTATCGTGAAACCTATCAGAAAATGGCGACACTATCCACTCGGAATCCATTTTAAACTGCTAACTAACCAGTGCTCATTTGCTTTCATGAATGATACGATGCTTTGAGGAAAGAGTAAATACGATAAAATCCACAGATGGCGTATCAAACTCTTTCAGTTCTCTTATGATGTGTTATGTCGGTCTGGTACCCAGAATTCTGCAGGCTACACACTTACGAGAGCATATTGTGTAACCACCCATTCACTTAACAATCTGGAGCGTATCCGTTAAGCTCTATGCCATCCTGGTTTTGGTCGACTTTTCCACTTCGTGCGAGCGAAGTATTTGCCGTGTTTCTTAGGAAATGTGCAGTCAATAACCCAACAGTACTCTGTACTAAAGCCGAAGTTCTACACACTAGTCAAGAATCCGCTATTCAAAGCAACTGAACTGAGCGACTAAGCATGGACTTCAAAGGACCAGTACCTTCGGCCTCACATAGTCGCTACATACTCACAGTTCTCAATGAGGATACCCGATTCCCGTTTTCATGTGGCTGCCCTGACATGCCTGTCTCCACTATAATACACAAGCTTACTGAAGTGTTTTCTATCTTCGGAATGCCATTATATGTACATTCTGACAGGTGTTCTTTGTTCAAGTCAAAAGAACTGAAATAATTTTGCATGAGCGTGGCGTGGCGACCAGCAGAATGACTAGCTACAATCCACAATGCAACAGGCAAGTGGATCGACTCAATGCTGCATTATGGAATGCCATCTCACTTTGTTTACGGTCACGAAGTGTGGTCCTTGAACAGTGGGAGTGCGTGCTACCAGAAGCGCCACATTCTAATCGTTCATTGCTATGCACTGCCACTAATACTAAACCCCACAAACACGTGTGCCTGTGCAGTAGAAAGTCATCAGTTGGAAGTACTCTACCACAATGGTCGCTATCCTGTGTTGTGGTTTCCGCTGACGGTACGGATAACCTTCTGCTACCGTGCAGCTGACCGTCGCCAAAAATCTGTTGTGGTTTCCGCTGACTATACGGACAACCTGTCTGTTGTGCCCCCAACCAGCACAACCCCGCACGAAATGAGAACACCAAGACCCGCCGGACGCAAGTTCGTATTGTATGAGAGCATAGCGCAATAAATAAGTTGAGGGCAACTACTGAATAAATAAATTAATTACTAAATTACTAAATTAGTTAATATCAGTTCACAACTCAAACGATTCAACTTCAGGGTTCAACTTGGCACTGACCCCGCATAGATTTGCGTTTGATCTCTGCTCAAGTTCGATCTCCAATTGTAAATCGATCCAATCCTGCGCCACCTTTCTCGGCTTGTACGTTGGCTGTAAGCTGGCTTTCCGTAACATTCTGGGACTGTCTTCCCCGCAAACGTGCGCATTCCTACAAATAATACCCTCTTGTCGAGGAAGTTTATCTGCTAAAGTGTAACCCGGAATACGCTCATGTTCGGCTGTCGGATGGTCGCGAGGCAGTCTTTACGCCATTTGGCACCTAGGTGATACGCAAGCGATAGCCCCGAGGTAATGACACAACTCCACAGATTCATCGGTCGCTTCTCAAACCCACTCTTCTGCACCCGAATCACTTTGTCTCATACACGATTATTCCATTACTTCCTTTGAGATCCGTGCTAATGTTGATAGCACCCTCATCCAATAACAAAGAACAAGACCGTATTGTTTACGCAGTCGTGAAACTTATGTACTTCCTACTTTTACTCATCATCTATCGGCTGGGGAGAGTGATGTGAATTTATATTCTTATGTTGTTATTGCTTCTATGCTATTGTAAGCGAACGTTTCTCTATTGTGGGTTATAACCTTTCATTTGTCCTATTGTAGCTTGCATACCGCAGTTTCTAGATGATCAAAGCCTGACTCACGCCTACGTCTTCTCAATCGATATACATTCAATCTGTCTGGTGTATCCTACTCAATCTTACAACACTGAGGATGAGTTAAATAGACAAACTTTCCTGAAGCGTCCCTTCTTCCCATATCTCGTGAAAACTGTTTCCCGAGCCGGACATCTGACCCATGGATGTCGAGTAAAATAGCAAAAGCGACACTTTCCGTTGGACGCAAGGGCAACGTATGGTGATGGTGGTGAAGGTGGAGGTTTGACTGTTTTGGAGGGTTACTCGGATCTGTGGAGCACTGATGCGCACGATGGGAAAATTACGGCATTTTGGTACGACTGTGAGTGTTGGTGTGCCATTTCCAGGGATTTCGCTAATTCAGCTGCAGTTTGAAAATTTAATGAACCGTGTTCCAGTAATCCTTGTCTTATCTGAGGTGAAAGTATCCCCTTCGCGAATGGCGCCATCACGATCTTGCTCCGCGCTGACTGCCTTGAAGTTGCAGTCCATAGCAAGGACTTTGAGCCTCTGAGTGAATAGGTCCAAGTTGAATCCGTTTTCTTGTTTACACGTAGCAAAAATTTAGCACGCGAAGACGCTATTTTGGGGTTTGCTTTATACGCTCTCCACTGCCTGTATAGCTTCGCTGAAGTTGGTGTTCTCAGGAATATATTCGAAGACTATGTAGTTAGCCAGGATTTTCCGCTTATGAAGATTGTACATTTCAACAGACCCCAAAAATAAAAATGCTATGCTACCGGTGAATCCACTGTTTCTGTGCATATGCAGCATTAGCATCAACGTCGAGACGTCCCGGTGCGACAAAATGTTCCATGGAGATTGATTCACTGAAGAATAAATTATAGCGCAATTGAGCATTCGGAGATAAACCATCATCAACATCAATGCACGTTAGCTGTGAGTGAGAAACACACCTCAGCTAATGTGCCGCAATACAAAAGGATGAGACTAAAAACTTTACACTACCAAAAAGGTTTCAAATAAGATGATGTTAAATACTATATTATGCGTTTTGTATGAGATCGGGATTGGAAGGGGAATCTAAAGGATAAGGGGATGGACAAAGAAACTCACAACACAAACGCTATTGTGGCCGGCTGTTCGCCATATCAGCAAGGATGTCCAACAAAACGTGCTCATCGTCCTTAGGACCCGAACCAGGCAGTCGGGATGCACCAACCGTCGCCAACTTCAAAGTGAAGGTTTTCACTTCTCTCGACCAACTCATCGCTTGGCGTCCCCTCCTCCTCTTCCAACTGCACCCCCGGCGCGCAAACAATGCACGTCGCGGGAGTCAGTGTGCTGAAATGCACAACACGTGGCCGAGCCATCAAAGCCTGGTGCGTGATATAATGGTGCTAAGCGGTTCACTCACTCTTTCTGCACCAGGTACGCGACGCCGAACACATGCATTACTCACGTGGTGCTCCCACCAGACATGAGCTAAGCTGTGAAGACAGCGATGGTCGAACGTGACTCGCCTCTTTATGTCTGTCGACTTGATGGGCCGAGTTTCACAACCATTTAAGAGGGTAGAACGGATGGCTGCATTATAACCTCTGCCCTTCAGGGCGAGAGTAATGTCGCGTCTGCGCCACTCGTGGCGGAAATTGGCAAAAGCACCTCGAGCTTTCGCTATACGATTCGTAATCTCATCGATCCCACGGGCGCTAATAAAGCTGCCCAGGTACTTCAGTTCCTGAGCGACTTCTAGGTGATCACCACCAAGAGTCAGCTAACGTGTATAATGATGAATGATGATTTCCTAGGCATTAACTCCTTTTTTGCGGCACAATAGCCGGTTAGTAGTTCTCCGAAACGATGCCCGCCCGTTGATGGTAGTACAGCTGGCGTGTCTGTTGCAAGTTGTCTTTCTGCTTCTCTTATGTATTAAGACACAGTGGCTGAGGTCTTTTCCATCTCGTTAAATTATACTGCTGATAATGTGGTGTCAGAAATGGGTTTCCATCCGTCTGAAACGCTGTGTTTACAAGGTCACAGTAAAGGCGTCCTACTCCGTGGTAGTGAAACATGGCCCTTTCGAGCTGATGATTTGCGGCTCCTACTTGTTTTTATCATCGCCGCCTGAGAAGCATTCTTAGTGTCCGATGGCACCAGCATGTCCGAAATGATGATACGCGTAGGCGAATGCTAGGCGGCGAGTATCAGGCCAGTTCCTAAGTACAACATTTAACACTGAATAAGTTGTGTTGCTTTGAGAACGTACTACATATGCGCGGTCGCCGCTTGCCGAGGAGGTCCTGGTTTTGATTTCCAGATTTTGGGTGACTCAAGGTTGGATGTAGACAAAAGTTGACTTGGCAGCGGAAAATGAAAGCACTGACGACCAAACTGCGTGCCACCGGTACGTCTCTCGAGGCTGGAGTTTAAGTAACCCGCCTCGGGCTTGGCTCATGACTTTGCAAGACGTGGCTCGCAGTCGACACCAGTGGTGCGCTTGCTGCGGTCTCCTAGTCGGACTGGCTGTTTAAAGTGTGTTTAGTGTTGACTTGTCTGCGGGGTAATGGCTGATTATGACACGGGGCAGTGTAATCCGCAAAGAGATTGTCTCGCTGATGCCATTTTATCTTTGCACGACGGCCAGCTGTTTGTGATTGTATGTTGTTGTCAAGGTGTGTGCGATTTGATCGTAAATGTTAAATTAGGGCATTAAAGTTTTCCTGTTTCTCTTATTATTCTTCGTTCCATAGGTCATCGTGGTTGTGCAGCAGCGGAGCCTCCGTTCAAATGGCTGATGTACTGCTGTTAGTGATGTTGAGATGATGGCGAAGAAACTGTCCAGCTGTTTACGATGAACTTGTTTTGTATTTCAGCCCCTTAGGTCCATCGCGACCTGTGTGCGGATTGGAAACGGAAACCCTCGAACACATCAATCTAACGCATACTACACTGGAACATTGTCTTCCACACCGATGTATGCTGGGCGTCCACTATTATTTCGCTCCAAATGTATTGTATTTCGATTCGACAGTATGGTTTCATGCGGGATTGCTGCCCCATTGTGTCGCTGGCTCTCAACTGCTGGACGTGAAGTGAAACTAATGCCGCCGGAAATTTCGGGATCAGCTTCTGAGAAAGTTTATCCGTTGCATATAGACAAACTTGTGGATGACATTTCGCGGCTTACACTCCTGGAAGTCTCGGAACTCACAGAATGTTTACAGAAGAGATTGAACATCAAGGTACCTTCCTAGAGTTTTCAAAATTCAATGTTGCTGCGTAGTCTATATTGATCTGCACCCAAGCTACATGTTTAGCCCTTGTTTTTCACTACTTAACCGGATATGAACACTCATCCGGATAAGCTATAGCGCATCCAAAAATATCAGAACATTTCTTGAGAACATATTAAAATCACTGACCTTAGTACCACTGTAAGCCCAATCACGCCACCTAGAACTTTTAATTATTGTGTCTGGGAAACTGGTCATACTGACCACACAAATTTACAAAACTACAAGGTCCTTACTTCACTTGCTTACGATCAGCGTACGCTGGTCATGTCACTGTGCACATATATTGTTCACAGGCTTATCGGTCGAAATGTGTTCTATTACTGTTTTATTGGCTAGGCCTTCATTTGTTGGTCATTTATCTTGGCTGCGGCTGACGACTATAGGATGCAGTGAAGCCTTGTGCCGGTTTTACTTAGCTTAAAATATTTTGCTCATTTGGTGCTCTCAGTGTTCGCTGAGCTCGGCAGGTTGACTGCAAACGTTTCGCCACCACTTGAGGTGAGATCGATCACTCACACTCACTGACGCTTCGTACGCGCCACTCTGCCAATTACACGCGCACTGACGATATCACCTCGAGTGGTGACGAAACGTTTGCAGTCAACCTGCCGAGCTCAGCGAACACTGAGACCGCCAACTAAGCAACCTGAGCTACCAACCTTTGCTTCCATATTTCGATCATCTCTGGGTATATAGGTCCTCTGATCCATTTACGTCTCGAAGCCAGCCGTAGCCTAATGGTAGCAAGCTGGTCTTGTAATCTGACGGCGCGGGTTCCAGCCTGCGTATGGGCACGGCAACCCTCGCAGTATCCTTAGCCCACGTGCGACTGGTGGTGGTTGCGTGACAGCGAAGCTTCGGTATTGCGTACCGGCGAACTGCTGATGCCTTTCTTCTTTTTTCTTTCGGCCGACTTTTCATACCCGTTCTTTATAGTCGGAGTGCTGAAGATTATTCTGCTCGGGCTTCTCATCTGTGTACGCTTATGCTTGTGGTTCTTATCGCACCATTTTAGAGCGAAGCGTTTAGGGCTGTTCACCTCTGACTGTTTGATCACGCATGCTTGTTTTTTTCGGTCCAGTTGACGAGGACATCAACTGGATATAGCTTTTGTGTGTCAGCAACTCCACTGGGCTACATGATCCAACGAGCACCAATGGCCACTCACTCGAAACCAATCGATGAGCCACGTTCTGCACTCCCCACTAAATTGATACTTGCATGTTAACCAGTTGTGGGATCAGATATTGATTGAATGAGCGTTTTGCCATCAGCGAACGTAATATTTCTTCGCCATTAGAATTTCTTCGAAACTTTCTTGTTGTTCCGCAACTTGTGACCATTATGCGAATGATAGCACCCGGCTAATATATCGTGGTTTCTTCGCAGTTGATCCAAGTCAGGCAGCCTAGTGGCGGGCGGACTCATACATTTAGCTGCTGTTCTCCTCATCACCGGCTCAAGTTTGCCTATGTGCTGAATATGCCGTAGTATCCTATCCTACGTGTTGTCATTTGTGTTTGCATGAAAGCGAAGCGTCGATACAAATTGCCGGGTACTAATGTCACCACAATACAACTCCATGAACTTCTCGCCACACGATTTCTGGATGCCCTGGCCGTCTCAGAGGATAATAAAGGGCGCCTTATCTGCTCCATCGAGTAGAGTGGATAGGAGTTTGCATGGTACTGCCCAAGTTTTCCCTTCTTATTCCCCCTCTTGCGATTTTTCATCCTTGTCGTCCCGTTCCAACTTCATTTTTATCCCCCTTGTTCTCAGTTTCTCAATACTTGGCCCTCCTGCATCTTGTTTCACTGGTCGCTTGTCTTCTAGTTTCAATTCACACGCAATCGCAGGGCGTCACTCCAACACCGGTTTGGCTTGTACTCGAGGCTGCATCGTCTCCGGATAGACTCAATGAGAAAGCACTGCTAGTGTCATCTGAAGGGGATCGCGGAGTGAGAACAGACTTCGGGTCTTGTAGGCGGGCTTCCGACAGGCAGCAGATATCGATCGAGAGGGTCTCCAGTGTGTTGCCTGTTGACTGATATGTAGCAGTGTGCGTATGTTGAGGCATGGCAGTCTGAGGAAGGATCTTGGGCTCCAAATAGAAGCCGCTGAACTGGGCTTGACCGCATGGTCGGACATTGGTTTGTCGATACAGCAAGAGTGACGTTCCGCATTTGCATGTGAGTTGAAACTAGAAGATAAGCGCCTATCGAAGCATGGTGGGGGAGGGCCAATAATTGGGGATTAAAAACACGGGGGATAAACGTTAAGTTGGAGCGGGACGATAAGGATGAAAGAGCGCAAGTGGGGGAATAAGAAGACGGGAAGGCTTGAGCAGTGGCATCCAAACCCCTCTCCACCCTTCTCGATGCAGCAGATAGAGCACCATTGATTATCCTCTGCGGTGGCCACAGCATCAGAAATTTGTTTGAAGAGAGATTCATTGCATTGCGTGGGCAGGATACTGTCAGGTTGCCCAGCCCTAGACAGGAGAACGATTAGGGTTCTCAACTAAGGTCTTTGGTTCAAAAACCTTATCGCAAGGCAGCGGATTTGGCGGTGGGATACAAGAACTCCGTTTTAAGGAATAAGGAGCCACCCTCATTCCAACCCTCAACTGTTGTTTGTCTGTTTGTCTGGCCTCTAACCATTGACCAATCTGGTATGAGTGGATCTGAAGGTGCAAAAGCATAGCTCAATGGATCACTGAGGCACGCAAACCATCGCACCACGGTAAGGTCTGGCCTCATTGCGATGGATCAGGCTAGCGATTAGTATGATTATATTGATGCTTCCTACTCTGTTTCACATGTTTATCGTGAGTGTGAGCATAACTAGATTTCCTGTTGTTTATCAGACCAATGGGGCTTATCTGAGCTTATGAAAAAGCCGTTACTACCGGGCTTAAAGACGGTAAGGCAGAGGCGCCTGCTAGAATTTAAAGTAGAAACGGCCAGTCTTCCGGGTGTATTTGGGAGGTTAGGTCAACTGTGATGTTACGTTAGTGCCTTAGTACATTTCATTTGAAGGGAATCAGCGCGTAGCGACAATTGTTGTGGAGCGCCGAATGGCTGCACCCTAGACGTTATCAAATAGCTTATTTTTACAGCAGAGTACACAGCTACATTTGCCAATGGGTGAGTAAGAGTACTTAGGTGACAGCCATGCTATTTTTTCTGGAAATTTGCTAAACAGTTTGTATACTTTATCGAAAGCCGAATATTTTACAATGGACAGAGGGACTTGTTGTATTATTGCTGTGGTCACGCCAGAGGTCATTGCGTAAGTTAGAGCAAGCGACGTTCTTCGGGAATTCTGACGTAATTCGGACAGGAAACGATTGGACCGGTCCAGTTATAAGTGACGATACGGAGAGACTACAGTTAACGCCCCGTCGCATTCTCAAGCTACGTGACGTCCATCAATTGCAAGGCCGACTTCACCTATGGCAGACGGCATCTACAATGTACACTAACGATAATTCGTCACTGTTTTACGGTACCTATTATTGATTCATCATTCCACCTAGTAACCCTATTGATGGCATTTGCTTCCCTATTCCTATATCTCTCTCTATCTATTATTGATGCCCACACTTCTGACTAAATTTATGCCATTTAGCTTCACATCCAAAGCACCAACAGTTCTTGTTGGTTGCTTATTCTCGTACGTGCCATTTCCCATAACTTGAATATGGCTGTTAGTCTTACCTCCAATTCACACTCATGCACGTTCATAGTATTATTGTCCATTAGGGTTAATTTTCCTTCATTCAGTTTGTGGTTGTTCATACGCAGGTGTCGACAGATGATTGTGAGCCATTTTGGTTACCAAGATCGAGGCTAATGAAGCATATACTATGCTCTGTCCTCTCAATCGGGCTAAACTCGATTTACTCTCTATCGGACGTGCGCTTGACACATGAAACTTCCCGTATGATATACAATGCCTGGCTGCGCTTGATAGGTGTTGACAAGATGCATGCCTGTCCATTACCATCCACCTCGGTTATACTGGCTCCAAGGGACTGTTATGTGCTAATGGGAACATGGAGTGCACCGTCATGCTGACATTATTAGACTTAAGGAGTGGTTCCAAGCACCCACTGTGGAACGGGCTACGGTCCAGCCATCGCATTGTGTACGTCTGGTACGCACGCTTTTCCAATTAGGCTTGGATTTTTCTGCGCGGTTTGTTGAAGTAGTGCGGGCAGCCTTCGTTAATGAAACGTGGCTCCAATCCGGACGCCTCCTTCGGGTTTGCACCGGATATGGGGTGTGTGGGTGGAACTGTGAATGGTGCAGCGCAAGCCACCCATGGTCCCTCTGTAGATGCAGGTATCCTGTGGCTGTCCTATATAGACCACAGTGACAGGCAAATCCGGAGACGGATGACACCAATCCATATATAATATTGTGCGACTGGCCGCGCTGTACTATTTTACGGTTTTCAGACATAACTTGTTCCTACCGTTGACCTCCGCTGGCTTATTGTCTTTGAGCACCGTTACTTGTGGTCCATTTCCCATGTGTGGTAGCTGCATCACGTGTTTTTAGTTTCTTATCTTTTCGTGTTGCGCCACATTAGCTGCGGTGTGTTTCTCACCCTAAGCTAACGTGTATTGATGATGATGATGATGATCAACCACATTGTGCATACTTCTTGCCTTGGACACGAGGGGCACACACCCATTCATGGTTCTCCGGGTTATATTGTCGATAATTCGCAAAGTCGCTGCAATTTTACGCGCAAACAGAGACATCAGTACATTGATTACGATGGAGCCAATGGTGAGTATCAGTTGACAGGTTTTAACCCATAGGTCGGACTTTGGAAGGTTTAGTACAAATCTTATCCTTTGAAAACTTACATATCGTTTGCACAGGTTCCAATCTGATTAGCGATCTATTGCTACCGATGAGGTATAACGAGAAACTCAAGTGATAGAGTTTTTTGAGCGAACGATACTACCCATTTACGAGCTCTGGCAGTGGGTTTTCTTGTTCTTCCACGTTATTTTTAAGTCGCCTGTCTGGCTCCTAAAGCAGGGGGATAATGTAAGAGGTGCAACACATCACTGCACCAATGCTTTGCTTAGATGCTTCTTTGTCATCCATCTATAACCATTTGTGCGCGCGATGTTATATCGCTTGGGTGTTCAGTCCTAGGTAAGAATGGGGATTCGAACTCGTACCAAAGGTTACCACTTATCGTGAAGCAATGCTCTACCGCAATGATGTATGCGTGTTTTCTTACGCGAATCTGCCTAGAACATTGGACTCATTAGCCCATTCCACAGGATATTGAAGACGCATTCAACTCTGGAGCGTAAATACTTGATCCGGTGGGAACCTGCTTAATACGATTCACCTACAGCCTCGGAAGCTATAAAACCAAAACTCGTCGCTTAGTCATGGAATAACTGTATGAACTATCAATTGATACTCCTTCAGTCGATCAAGTTTCAAAGAACATTTTAGCAGACCTTGCTTCACCATTGTCTGAAGCAACTAACTTCAATCTTTCACGTTGAATCTATGTCCGCCGGTGTTAGCTGGACTCGGCTTATGCGATGCATGGCTCCTAAACTCGATAGTCTCACCTCTTCGTTGAAGAAAAGCGGCGTTACGTCTCTATTGCTTTATACGGTTTCGAGCGATCCATGAAAGGCTTGTCTCCGGATTAACATATTTCCATATTTGTAAATTTCAAAGACGCGTGCAATTACCGTCATGGAATGAACCTTCTGGATACTGTCACCAAATTATTCACACGCACCACGCTGCGATGACTCACTTATTGTCGAGCAAGGGAAATCAGCCAATGTTTGCTGGTCTCCGCCCTGTCCATCACGGATCTCACTTTAACACTTCATGGAATGTCGCCATATACGAAACCGGTCTATTATGTTCGTTTTTCGTGTTTTCAGTGCTTCCTTCTACTCAGTTGATCGCGATTGTTCTTGGTGCTATCGACCGCTGTAAAGTGGCTTTCTCCTCCGAGATCTTAATGTCACAACTGCGATTCCGATCTATCGCGTTCTCTTAACCAGCGGCGTGCATCAGACTGTTTTCACTACCCCTCTGTAGTTCAATTTTCACATACTAATCGGCTGACAACTCCAGAGTGTACATACTATCTGAAGTATCCACTCCCTTTGCATATGTTGTCAAACGGATTAGCACAAGGCGTTATGCGTCTTGGCATTTTGAGATGCAGCTTGCTTTGGTTCGACAGATGCCTCCAGTTCTCGCCATCACCGATCTCACTCGAAGTAACCTGTATATTGATCGAAGGGGTCATTTTAAGGCACTCGATGCGTGAATGGACTGCGACCTGCAATCTCTCCATGTGGACTGCGATTTAAATTGGCCAATCCGATCACTGGACAAGCGACACCCAATAATCTGTGTATCCACTCTACTTGTTTACTGGATTATTCATGGCAACCAAATCTCCGCGGGATTTTTCGATACTTTAGTTTTATGGAACAGCTACAGTTGATTATTTATCGGTGACACTGTGGTACGATTAGTATTACAATCTTTGGCCCCTATGATTAAGCTGCGTGCGCGATATCTGTCAGCATAGACGAGTGAGGAGTATCGAGGTAGATCACCAACTCCCTGGCGCTGCACTGAATTATCTTTTTCGCTTGAACTTCTTACGTTCATCTGGTCGTGTCCTACGTATGCCTGCACATTACCAACATTTGACGTACAATGTTTGCTAACGCTGCAGTGTCTCCGATGTTTCCTGACTTGGACCATTTAGTGGTTTAGTAACATAAGGAAATTCACAATGGTGTTTGCTGCGCTGCGCTTTCTGGATAGATGCTACAGAATTCACCGACGCATTTGTTCAAATCCCCGTCTGGCGCGACTCAATCGATCGGTTTTGGACAGTTTGGCTGTCGGTTGCATGCTTCTGACTTTTTAAGCGTTTATCGCCACTTTTTGTTACACTTTTTCTTGGTGTTCTCTTCTATTTTCTCATCTTTATTGTTCATGATTTCCATTCTGACTTTTGATAGGGAATTTGAGTCTACCGCACCATACTAACCTGATCATGTTAGCCATGAAATAGACGAAATATCTATAATTATTTTGTACTTGATAAATCCCTGATTATTTACCCGAGGTTCCAGTTCTGGCGTGCTTTCTACAGTACTCCAGAGACATCTCGCGACTATGGTATATCTTATACTTCGACCCTAGAATTGTCTGCGGTTCACTTTGCTAAGTAAACTACACATTCCTGTCTTTTAGAAGTGCTACATCCTTGCTGATAAATGACGGTTTCTTCCCGAAACTTATTTCGTCCACTTCAATTTTGATTGTCTTTCTTTTCTTCAGAGCCCGATGTTCACGCTTCCCAGCACAGGATCAACGCCACAAACATCGACTGAACCCGAGACTACTGAAGATGAACTGCCAACAGTGAAGACCTCCTTTACGGTGAAGCTGGCAAAGTTCGATGCAACGAAGAAGGTTCAGTTGATCAAGGAGATTAAGTCCTTGCTTCCTGAAATGAACTTAGCTCAGGCGAAAAAGTTTGTTGAAGTGAGTTTCCTCTTTCAGCTATTCTATCCATTAAGTAGTGAACGAACCACCAGGCCTTCGCAGCGCAGACTAAAAGTATGATCGTGCTTGACCACCGGTGCTTACGGAGTATTGTCCGCATCTGTTTGAAACACCCGGGTGAATAGTCCTGGGGTTTATCATTTGGCTTTTGACTAACCTAAACCTTAACCTCCTACACTGGCTAAGTCATATCTTCCGTATGCCCGCCGGCCGGCCTCCTCGGCTTGAATTATACACCGTCGCTGCACTAAATTGGGCTAAACCGCGAGGTGGCTAGTCGATGATATGGCATAAAGACATGGAGAAATTCAAGAACGCAAGTTTGCATAGAGTACTCTTTTCGACAAAACGTTTCCGACATTTACAATCATAAAATAGAATGTTAGAGCACAAACCACTGGTGAAGCAAGAAAGAGAATAGTGGAATCACGGCAGTCAGCAACTTTAACGTCTTGATAGATACAGTCGTTTATCCTCTCAGTTGACAGCACTTGTTGATTGATCGGTAAACCGCTATGCGCGTCACCCGATCGCTGTCATCGCACGAAGTGATAGAAGTCGACAAACTAATTAGGACCAAGGTAGAAGAAAGCCTTGCAGCAGAGCTCTCCTTTTTGCATAGTTCCAGTTGTATTGTCCGTATTGCGATCGCTTCGCCGTCCGTAGGAAATTGACTGAGAAACTTGATCAACCTAGGGCGTGTTGTCTTTGTGAGAGGGAACCTCGAGGTGGTCCGCACCGGTGATTGGAGACTTTATCGGATATAGCGCAGCTACGCAGTGAGTGGCACTCCTGCATTCGGTTTCTCGCATCTATATGTTATACTATACCTTGGTTACTTTTTCGCACTTTATTGACTTCACTTTACATTCTGTTTTGCGTTTGATTTCATTTCATTACCATTTTTGTTTATTGTTCTCATGGCGTATCATGTAGCCTAACGAGTTTTTATGTCAAAAGCGAAGCGATGCCCAACAAATACCAATCGATTGCTTCCCCACCTGTCTGAACGCATGACTCTGGTATATTTCACGATTTTGGATGTGATCGTTGTTTGTTCTACGAGCGCTCTGTTGGAGTGCTAACTTGCACCGGAATATTGTCTTCAAGACCGTCCCTAACTACATGTTTGTGTCTCTGGACTAACGATCGATTTCCTTATTTGTTCACGCACCTCCGTATCTAAGCTGTCATCCTTTATTTCAAACACACACGCGCCCTTCTGTCCCGCACCTGCGTGAAACTCAGCTTGAATAGTCAGTTGTCAGCTGCAGACGAGATCACTCCTATCAGTGGTGGTAACACGATGTCCTTATCTCGTCATAATCTACTTTTTAAACTCTTGTTGAAGCGGAACTATCGAGCCATGCTTGAAAAGCGGTCTTAAGCATTTAACTAGTTGATCGGATGCTGGCAGTGCTCCCCTACAATACTTCATAGTGGTATTCGAAGCAGTTTCTCTGATATGCTCAAAGCTTTAAAATAGCAATTTACGCGGAATCGATTGTCTTTATTAGAACAAATATGACTACTCCATTCTGTTATGATTTTTAGTGTATGCAACTCTTTAAAATGACTTCTTTTTAGAAATATTAGCATTATCTGTCAGCCGCGATGCCTTCAAATGTGACCTTAGTCTACGACCCCTGTCCATGGAATTGTTAATACGCTCTCGCTGTTTACTTTCCGCTGAAATGCTCTTGTTTTGTTTACCACATGATTATTGCGATGCCAGTTTATGCGCGCAATGTTTTGAAGTCGCTGTGTTTCCACCCTTGTGATTTGTGCCTTTTCCAACATCCGCGTTATAAGAAACAGAGTGCGGAGATTCTATAAGAAGATCAATAATTCTACATGAAGACATCGGGCTAGATTGATGGTTGCTCTTCGGAAGTAAAACTGCTACATCTGAGAGTACTCGTATTGCTTACTGCTAACACTCGTTCCCTCCTAGGAGAACTGGATGAACTATCGTGCACCATTAGTTCCTTGAAAATTTTCATAACTAGGCATCATTTTGTTGCAAGAAAATCAGCTCCACAGTGAGGTGCCTGCTACTGCCGTTTATCTGCCAGCAAGTCTACCGCCTTTGTGCGTAGTGAAACCTCCTTGGTGTATTACAGCAAGACCCATCTGTTGTTTCTCTTAACTCTGTATTAAGGGCTTGATCTTATAGTGCAGGTCTGGTACCACCGATTCGAATTTCTAAACTCCGTTGCCAGGCCAGTCTTCTTTGTGTACTACACAGCACTATTTTAGGGTTATTCGCTTCTTAAATTCACCTTTTTTCCGGATTTTTGTATCGCGTACAGTGTCTACCGGGCATTTTGTGGTGTAGCTTTCCAATTATCTCCTATTGGTTGGTCGATTTGCCATTTAGCCACATAGTTGCTATGCTATTCATAATGACGAAGCGAGATCCCTGTGATACTTGTTGCAAAAGTTATCTGACATTGAGCCAATGCTTGTCATGTGAACTTTCACAATTCGTGCATTTATCTATCTGCGTGATTTAACAAGATTTCGCTTAGACGGTTTGTAAGAAGTGAGTAAAATGCAGCCGGAAAAAATACCTCGCGAGCCGCAAATGATCGAGGATCTCGATGTGCTCATAGCAGCAGGCGCAAACGCAATCACGCCTATGTTCGAACAAGCACACTTTTCCTTAGGTTGCAAGCTCTCTGCAGCTTGAGTAACTGGGGGACTCAGCTGATATGCCTGTGTTGCGTTCTACGGGCACTAACTTGCCGATGTGCGATGGCGTAAATGATGAAGATCAATGGAAATCGCAAAAGGTAACGAATTAAGTGCAACTATCAGCGACCAGGTGCATGCCAACCTCATGATATTTTATGCCCCGCGGTCAACTGATGCAAATCCTCACGCAAGCCATGACCACATCGTTTCTCCATTGTTTGATTAATGGATTTCTCGATGTGGGTTAAGGTGAAATAAATCACCCATCTTGGAAAGAGAGAGAGAGAAAGATGCGGAGAAGACTATGCGAAACATTTTGTTGATAAACCTAATCCCAAAGATGTTGTTACTACTACCTCGCCTTAGCAGACCAATAAGATTGAATATCTAAATTCGCCTAGATATGCATTCGCCAGACTGGGAAAAATGACGTCTGTTATCAATGAACTATAGCGGCGTACTGATGGCGACGAAACAAATCTCCGTATCGTTTATTTTCAGGCAATTCCCTGGGTCCACCGAATCCAGATCAACGAGTCTGTAACGTCCACCGTGAACGTTGAATAACGCGTAGCCAAAGATCCCGAAATCAAAACAAGTCGGAGCCTAAATACTACGGTACTATTAAAATATATACAGTTGATAATTGGGACATACTTCACTTGTTCAGTATCCCGGTGTATGCAAGTTGACAACAAGGTGTCAGTAAACAATAGGAGGGACGAGTTGTCTACTCCGGACAATCAAGGGAACAAGCCACCACACCTGAGTGCTACGAGTATTAAGAATAATGGCGTTGACCAATCGAGGGACGGTCCAATCACATGGTGAGAGTTTAATGGCATGCATAAACATGGTGTTTGGACAAGCGACCAGTGAACGGGGGAGGGGGTGCGACACATGCTCCGGGCTGAACTTGTCTTGTTCGGCGAAGAGTAGGGTTGGAGATCCAAGGGCGTCGATAGCCGCACACGCACGGAATCAGTGCCGGAGATTAGCATGCACATACAGACACACCTACCACGCTAACAATGGGGATGTAAGGAGGCGCACGTGAAAGCTGGTCGATATTCATCAACGATCGGCCAAGGTCTGTAGACTAGACCACGAAAGGAAGAGTAGAAGAATTTCATGGGTAGTTAAGCGCGTTACACTGCCTCCGAAATTCTGCTACGATTGACGTCTCGTACTTCCCCGACTCCACTCTGGCTCTCGGTCCTGCAATTGCCTACAGTAGCGCTCCTTAGAAAAACAGAAGGGAAAGCAACGCAACCACAAGAGAGCGTCTCGGCAGGAGCCGTTTTCCATGACTCCCACCAAGCGCCGTTCGTGGGCGTCTTTGGGCATCGAAGCGCTTGGGTGAAAGCCGTTTTCCATGACTACCACCCTGCACTCTAAGTCAGACTTAGGCGCTGCTACTCATCGCCCTCCAGGCGGCACACCTTTCTGACATCTCTTTTTAATATACCTGTGGCTCCGTGGGCTACTTGCTTCCAGCGCTTAGTATACCTGGCTTCCAGCAGCGAGCCTGATCTGTGGATAATGCGAGAGTTAACTTGGGGACTTCGCCACCATGGAGCAGGCTGTGATGACGAGATTGGCAACCAGCGGCATTGCAGGCTCGGCGAATGCCACAGTTTTTGGCGATATGGCCCGGTCTTAAGCAACCGAAACAGAGGTTATTGGTTTTTAACATTTCCCGGATCTTTTCCAGTTAAGCCCCGCCACCCAAAAAAGATTATTAAAAGGGAGGATATGGAACTTGAACTTTTACTCTCTGTTGAAGAGGGTGAAATTGAGACAAGTCATTAATAATTTGCATGAAAAGGTCCATTTTTCGGTGTCTTTGCCTCCAAACGAACTCACACAGATAGCTGTCCACTAAAGATCGGTGTGTGCCGCATTGGCGCTTATTCTGCATCTTGTAAATGTGCCAGAGAGATTCGATGGTTTGTGTGTGAGCTCCAGTCGTTGGATCCACAAAGTTTTCGGTATGATTAACCGTTTGATGAGTATAACTCAAGCCAATCATCGGTTCAATGCCTTGGTATGACGCCCACATATCGGAAATGATAATTGAGCCGGGAGCGATGCAGGCCTGGATTGTGTCCAGCAGAGTGGCCGCAGTTCGATCTGGCACTGCATACAAGAGCACTTCTTTAGTCTTCCGGCAAATCCCTCCGAAAATCCACTGCTGGGGAAGGACTCGCCCTGCATGGTTTTTACGACGTGATATTAGGGTTTCATCGATCTCGACATGTAGACCTGGGCCGCCGACAATC